CACCCCTCAACTCACTCCCAGTCTTCAGGGTCACACCTGGTCGCACTCCCAGGGACGTCATTCGGAGTGCCGTGTAGCTTCCCGTGTGCTATCTCGGAGGACGCTACCCCTCCCTCTCTCTGCGTACATTAGCGGGCGCTATGCTGCAGCTTAGAGCCGAGCGAGGTCACGTAATCTTTCCGCCGCAGTTCCTTCGGCTGCCACTTGGGGCTGCAGGTGGGGGAAAAAGGTCGACTTTTGCTTTGCGATTATGCAGCGGAATCGCGACATTTTTAATAAAGGAAGTGTTTTTCTATCCTCTGGGATACGATAAACAACGTAAAAATGACGAGATGCAAATTGTTTTAATCATAAAATCGTTGCACCACCCCTTTAAGGCAAATGCACAAACGCGATTGACTCGTTTCCCACCCCAACCCGGACAACTATTTTTGGAGATGACTGAGGATTCTACGCGGATTATCTCTGAGAGGGGGGAGAACAATGTTCGCAAAATCGCTTCGAGGGTCGTTCGACGTCCTTCAACTCCATCGTTTCCCGTGAATGTCGAGCAGAACAGCTTGAATGGCAGGCACTTACCAGCCTTATTTCTCACAATGGAAGATAACACAAAAAGGGTGCCCAGCACGCATAAAAAAAATTAAGTAGAAACTTTCAAGAAGGTCGAGAAGACGCCGAATGCAAAACCGCAAAACATAGGTAGAGAACCGTGCTGATCGGGTCTTCACAGTCCAAGTGAGTGGCGAAAAATTTGTAGATGATAGAGGGCGCGAGAGTCGCACCAGCCGCATCAGGATCAGCAACATGGCGGCGGCCTAGAAGCGGTTTTTGGAAAGGTGGTTGTGGTAGAGTCAATTCCTGTGTTGAAAACAGCAAATCGCAATCACCCCACATAAATGGCTGCTTGTTATTTCGAACGTCCGCCCCCAAAGCCAACGGAGCAAGTGAGCTTTGACGTCGGCACAGAAAGCAGACGACGAACAGATCACGCGACGTATTTACTCGATTTGATCCGACGTTACGGACGTTACCCCCCATAAACATAGAGATCAGTGTTACCCCCCGATCGAGGAGGGTAGCGTGAGTAATTACTCGGGAGTAAACAACCCGCTTCTGGAACGCGGGTTCTGACGTCATATAGAGTAAGCTCGAGTAAGTTTTGAAACGCCACAGTACGAACCTTTACTCCGGAGTCGGTTCAAGTAAATTTTGGAACACAGCCTTGGTGAGGGGGGTTACCAGTGGGGGGGTACTGCTCGTGCATGCAGAATATATGAGCAGTACCATAACCACGGTGTAAGTCCATAACTGAGCTAATCTAATAACGTTGTTTGAGGTCTACCCACTGGAGTGCCTCAAGTTAGCGTGCTGGGCCCAACATTATTCCTGATCTACATTGACGATGTTGCAAGACTCTTAAATTCCACACCAATCATGTATGCCGATGACCTGTCCCTTCTTCAGCCAATCTGCTCTGACAGCTCCTACCAAGCCCTTCAGGACGACTTCGACCAGTGCTTTCGCTGGTCGGCCGAAAACAAATTACCCTTTAACTGCTCTAAAAGTGTTGCAATGACATTCTCTATCTCTTCCAAAACTTCGAAAACTATAAGCCAAGCCTCAAACTTAACCCTGGGTGGCTCACTACTAAAGCATGTGCCCTCCACAACCCTCCTTGGTGTCATCCTGGACAGCCGCCTCAACTTTGCCCCCCAGGTCCACAGCGCCACATCAAAAGCAAGACGCATGCTGGGCTTTGTCACTCGAGTCACACGAGGGATGACACCTAACACCTTCCGCCATCTTTACACTGCGCTGGTGCTGCCCCACCTAGAGTATTGCTCTGCGGTGTGGTACCCCCAGCAAAAATATCTCCAAACTACACTACAAGATATGCAACGGCGTGCCGCCTACACTTGCTATCGCCGCAGCGTTTCCCCACCGTCAGTCCCACTCTCCTACAGAGAAGTACCCTCTAGTGACCTCCTGAAGACTGCTGCCTGAAGGAGCCTGCACCAGCGACAGCAAGTAGCATCTGTCCGGCTGTTCTGCAGGATCATGGGACCAAACCAACAGGAACTTTATGATGCCCCCAGGGGGAACAGAAGAACAGGTAGAGTCCAGCCCGTGATGTCCCGAACATTACGGCATGGGGAGTCATGCCTGCTGAGGGCAGCTACGCTTTGGAGGGGGCTCCCCCCAAACCTCACCGAACACATTCCCTCTGATCCCCAAGAGGCAAAAGAAGTAGCTGAGACGCTTTTCCGTGACCCCTCTAACGGTGTTTAAAACTTTTCCCCCTTGACTTCTAACTTAATTACTTAGTTCTTTTATTGATTTACTTCACCATTCTGTACAACCTATACATGTTATAAGAGTACACAAATCAATGTGTAAGCACACAAAATTTTTTTTTTTTTTTGCTTCTGTACAAATGTATATATATATATTCTAAGAGTGTTAGGTCGGTGTTGTGGGCACAATAGTGCATGGGCGTCAGCCTTCCCCCAACACCAGCACATAACTCTATGCACCAGCACGCCTGTACACGCCTGAACCTGTACACGCCTGAACCTGTACACGCCTGAACAGAGAGGAGTTCCCCATCGGGGAACTCCTCTCTGTTCCGCTGAAGGAGCGTCAGCCTCTCCCGCGGTGCAGGGAGGAGTCCCTGGACTTGTGCAAAAAGTATGGTAAACTGATGTCCGCGGGGGGAGGGACGTAACCACCCATGTTTCGCCCTGCCGCGAGCGTTGGCGGGCGCGGGCAGGCAATTTTTGGTAAACTCTGCGCGCGCGAGAGAGAGAGTGTGTGTGTGTGTGTGTGTGTGTGTGTGTGTGTGTGTGTGTGTGTGTGTGTGTGTGTGTGTGTGCGTGTGTGTGTGTGTGTGTGTGGGAGGGGGGGGTGGGTGGGGGAATAGATGGATAAATAAGTGCGCGTGCGTGCGGTGTGTGTGTGTGTGTGAGAGCGCGTGCTCTGCCTTAGAATGGCATGGGATTGCTAACCGTTTTTGTATATGTATCTGTCTGTTTTGAGTGTTTGTATTTATTTTTTCCCCACTTGGCGGCGGGCTAGCAGGCGCACCTGCGTAAGGGTCTCAACCTTTCTGCTTAGCCTTGCACGCTGCCGAGTGGGTATCGCAATCTGTGCAAATAAAAATTATTATTATTATTATTACTTCTACTTGTCAAGTGCAATAAATAATATCGTTATCAATATCAATACACTTCAATCAGAGCTCGACATTCTGACGTCACCACAACTCTTGCAAAAGAAACTTGTGCTCCGCCTTGCCCAGAGGCACCGCCCAATGCGGAGTGCAAGTCGCCTGCTTGTTGCACAGGGGTTGCACTGACATCAGAAAGACGCCGAGCTCTGATTGGCTTTGATTGAAAGGATAGTGGGTAGACGTCAATTACCTCAATGCTATATGCCTTGGGGTCTACCCACTATTTTTTTTTTTTCTCAATCAGTCAATAAGAGCTCGGCGTTCTGACATCGTCGCAATTCCTGTTCAAGAAGCAGAAGAACTTGTGGTTCGCATGCTAATGAATTTCGTTAAAAAAAAAAAAAAAAAAACGTTTGTTTTAAGTTTTACTAATTACAGTTACGAAGCACAAGCCTCTGCTTGATTAAACGGATCGCAACCATTAATATCTCCGGCCACTCTGCTACAGACGAATACAGCCGCAGTGTTCGAAGTTTCCCGCGTTCAAGCTCCAGCTCGCAAACCATAGAGTTATTATAATGTACGCTAGAGGTTCAACTGGCGCTAGTGTCTATGCGACTTCCGTGACGCAAATTGAAGCAGACAGCAACCAGTCTACTTTTCCAGTCTTCCTGTGTATTCCTATGGGAAAGCGCGCGTGCATTTTGTCTCTTCGCCGGAAAATAACACGGAACACTTTGGTTATTTGGGTCGTACCGAATAGTATGTACCTTGATTAACACTGTAAAAGTGTAATTGCTTTAGTTAGCGCATTTTTCTTCATCAGTGAACGATGTTTAACTTCGCTACATTTCAGTCCCAAACGTGTGTTCCGCAGCAGGTGTGTAAAAACAAGCGACGATTCGAAGCAAAATTACAATAGAAAGGAATGTAGAGTGTGTTCAAGGCTCGCCAGCAATCCGGTGACGCTTATATATTGCTAATATGCCAGCCCTGTCACTATATAAAAATGACCCCGTCGTGCATGAGCGGATAAAAACATTCAAAACGTAGAGAATAAAGTCCGTTTGCTATGAAAGGTGTCTTCGTATTGTTTTTTCTGCCGGGCAGCTTTTATCTGGCACTTGTTCTCAAAGATTTCGAGCGTGCGAGTGATATTTTGAACGTAGAACAAGCAGCTTCGCTCACAGCAGGAAGAATAAAACGGTACTTACTTATTTAAAATAGGAATAGATTACGTGGCCTTCAATCAATTTTGATCGTACATGCACGTGTATGTTACTGATCCGGTGTTACTGCGTAGTTCTTGCCGTCTTTCTTAATTTCCAGATGTTCTTCGTTCGTTTGGCACGGGGCACGCTGAAAAGCGCCGACGTCGTGTTCGCGCTAACAGTGTCCGACAGTGCACATAAATACACGTACGAAGCTGTTTTAGCACCGTTTTTATTGCGATGAATTTGAAAGAAAAACACCGCAATTGACCAATTATTTCGTCGGCATGACTGAGAAATGTTCTAAGCTACCTATTACGTATGAATTATTCGGGATATTTGCGCTTATGATCGAGCGCAGAGAGAAAATGCACTCACTTTTTCCCATAGAAATGTATTACCGGAAGTCAATTTTCGACTGGTTGCTGTCTGCTTCAATTTGCGTCAGCACACTAGCGCCACTTGAACCTCTAGCGTACATTATAATAACTCTATGTCGCAAACAACACGCTCGAGCGCACTGGAAGGCGGATAACAATCCAACACAATCCATGACAAAAATGAAAAAAAAAAAAAAAAAAAGAAAATCCTCCGCATTTTGACTTTTTGAGTCTGAGGACAACTAGCCAAGATAACAGCCAAGCCAGCCAAGCCAACCGCGTAGACGGCGGCGGTCGAGCGGACTGCTTACTGCACGTGCTCTATGTTGTTGGGGGGCCTGGTGTTTATGTACAAGAACAGATCCCTTTAAGGTGAGATTTTTGCTTCAGTTCATTCTACACGTCCTTCGAATGATTCTTTTCTGTCGCGTCGACTGCCACTGTGATCGTCTACCACGTGCTTAGTTCATTGAGATGTTGATGATTGATCTGAGCGTCGTTAGTTTACCATCTTTTCGAACCGCTCTTTTCATAAATCGCTGCTTAGTCGCAGACTGCGCAGCACATCACGGTACATACGTAATGTAATTCGAAAACCTTTTCGTCGCCTCGCATATTTGACGCTTGTGCGAGTGCGCGATCGGGGACGCATTGACACTTGTGTTGCACGTGTTCTCTGAAATGTTTCGTCGTGCTAGTCACTCGTATGTTCGCTTGTTAGCCCCTTTATCCGAGCCTGGGTGTCATGTTTAAAACTCGTGATTTGAAGCCTGAGGCTGCCCGTAATATTTGAAAGAGATGATTAAAGATTGCTGTCGAACGAAGTATCTCCTTGCTTCGTAGCCAAGTGACCCCGAAATTACTCTCGTAGTGATTGAAACGATCGAGTTGTTCAGTGCTACTCTCCGTTTTCATGCGAAATGTTGAATTAAATGATGTAGGTGTCTGTATGTCTGATTAATAGAGTGCGGGACTGTTTTTTTTTTTGTTACTATTTTGAGTTAGATGTTGCTTACCTTTTTGTCACACTGTCTAATGCCTTGGTGTACGACATGCCAGGTGCCCAAGATGAACTTGGAGGACGAGATCAGCCTCCCCAGAGGAGGGGTTCGACGGCCTTCTGGAGCGCAGAAACTCTACCTTGCTAAAGATGACCTCTTCAAGGTGCGTTGGAATGGTCAAGACTCTTTCTTAGAATAACAACAGTTTATAAAAGCTTGAATTCGAAGGAAATATTCTCGGAGCATTTGTGATGTATTCCCAAAATGGGTCAGCTAACATTTCGTTCCTGCTAAATTTCTGCCATCCTCTATGAATCTGTGAGACATGATATCACATGTGCCTTTGCACTTCCAGCCATTGGAAAAGATTGTGAACCTATGTGTGCAGAGTAGAATGGGTGTTCCCGACATTTCAGTACTTCCAAGGTACTGACACAACGTCCGTGTGACGTTTGTCTTATGGCCAATTTACACGGCAGACTAATCCACGAACAGATTGATTACATCGCGACTTGCCGCGGATCGTCCGTCTCCCAAGCGCGTCTACACGGAGGAGACGACGAGCAGACAACAGCAAGGATGGACCAATTTTGTTCACGACCCTGTGCGGAACGTCAGTATTGCACTATGACCTAGTGGTCCAAGGGCGAAAGCGACATTTACTGCTACGGTAGAGGCACTACCGTAAAAAAGAATTGTGTGCCGACGTACAGAGCAAGTCAGAACACTGTGATAGGCTTAGCGCAAAGTTCCACTAGCTTTACTAACCCAAGGCATGACACAAGCATGGTTCAGCTCGACGAGGCTTCGACGTAGAGGCGACGTGGTCATGGACTCTCAGAGGGACGTTTGGAGATGCCTTCATGCACTGAGCACTCGCACACAACAACTGCAGTACACCACAGCCATAAGAAAGCTTCTGCTGGGTGAGAGGGTGGACACACTTGCAGAAAAGATTGCAGCATGCTAGATGAATTTTGATAAAAGCTTGTTGACATGGGCCCGGAGGAGTACCAGAACCTGCAGCGCATCAGCCAGGAAAAATTCCTGCAGATCCTCACGCGTGAAATCGAGAATCTCGCAACAAAACGAGCCAGCAAACGCACACAACAGAATGTTGTGCCATCTTTTTGTTCGTCTGAAATCGAAGAAAACATACTGTTGCCAGATTAAACGCTTTTCAAGCCAATATCCCGCCAAAAATTCCTAACTGAAAAGGCGCTTGGCCATTTCAGTCGGCGGACTAGGCGCAAATTGGTGACGTGACAGTCTCATGGTACACGGTTCGAGGATGAAAATCTCGATTCGGTCCATCGTGTCAATCGGCCATGAACGACAACAATCGGCAGCAGTCATGCAGTAGAGGTTACCACGACGTTCCAAACGCATAGGTACTTTGGTTTCTTGTGACCTTCCTAGGTAGCGGCAAAGTTTAGAATCTAGTATCTGGGCATGGCGCTGGGGACGTAAACATACTCCGAGCACAACAAAAGAAATGGGGCAGATTTGAGGGTCTCGAGTGGGTCAGTGTTCTCATAAAAGCTTGTTGGTACCTTGCAGTCCAGTGCTAGCGGCCTGGCCAAGAAGCCGAGCAGGAAGCGGCGGAAGAAGTCCACAAAGCAGACGGGCGACGATGAGCAGACGTTGGTGGTAGTCGAGCCTCTGACGGTGCACACACTGGCGGAAGGCATGGTGGTGCTGGGCTGCGTCCAGCAGGCGCACGAGTTTGGGCTCAAGGTGTCCCTCCCGGGGGCCATCACGGGCCAGGTGGACATCATGCATGTGTCGCAGCCCTACAGCACACTCCTGCGCAAGTTTGCACAAGGCGTGCAGGAGGACAATACGGTGAGTTGAGGGCGACCATTGGATGTCATTAGGAGCACTAAAGTTTCATGAAACGGGCAGCATCATGGAGCAGCGACGTTTGCAACCAGTGGGGCAGCATCCATCCTTGCTTTGATTTTGCATGTATGGCATACTATGCCAAGTTTTTTTATGTTCAACCAGGCTAGCAACCTTTTTTATTGTTTTTTTTTTTGCCGGCAAAAGTTTTAACAGCATTACTTCGGTTTATAAATTTTGTAGACATAGATGAAGAGCGGACACCAGCAACGCAAGTGGGTGCTAACTTTCATCTGATTTAATCAATTTTGATCAAACACAGTATGTCATACAGTCACCTCTTCTGTCACCATTGTCTCAGAAAAACCTAACAAGTTTATGCCCTCCAAAGAATTAATATCATAACGTGCATTCTTGTAAGAAACCAATAAGATACAATACCTTCTTGTCATTTAGTACACTCGATGGCATGTTAAGGCAGTTGTCACCTAAGGACAAAAGTCTTCAATAATTTACAGTCGATGTTGTTCGTTTAATTTCTTCATCCATGTCTTTTTGTGCTTTTTAATACCTGTGTAGTCGTCTGTCAGTTGGCCCGATCCAAAGTTTTATTTCAACAGCAGTGGAAAACACACAACACATTTGCATTTTGAGAAGACGTTTCTTTTCTTTTTTCATGATGAAAGCTTCCTCCGAAACATACATGATAAAACTTCTTTCGGCGTTTAGTCTCTTTCGGGCCGTAAAAAATTTGAGTTACAAAATGCGAGTTTATAATTTCTGGCTTGCGCTGCCAATGTCTGTGTTGCTTTGTCATTATGATCCGATCGTTATTTCGAGTTTTTTGGTTGTAGGGGAACAGTCAGTCTTGATGTGAATCTTACTTGATAGGCTTTCTTGCCTCATCGAACTACTGTTTTGTCTTTGCCTGTCTCTGCAGGAGCTGCTTAAGCTTGGCAAAATGTTCCGGGAGGGCCAGACTGTTGTCTGCAAGGTCATTTCTGCCATTCCTGAGAAAGAGGGCTCGCCGAAGGTGTGCGTCACTCTGTCCTTGGATCCGGCGGAAGTGAACAGCTCCCTGGTGCCTTCAATGTTGCAGACTGGAATGGTAGGGTGTGCAGCCTACAGTTGCAAAGCGGCTGGAACCTCAAAATATATGCAATACAAAGCTTGGGAGTTTAGAAATTGTAAAGGGGCACTGACAAAAAAATTGATTTAAAGATTTAGCAAACAGCGCTGATACGTGCGGGTCCCTTCGCGTATCAATGCTTGTTGATGACAGTTGTGTCCTCTGCGGTGACCGCTCGGGTAATAAAATTACTGGGTTAAACCTGTTAGAAAAATAGCTTGAAGCATGATTGCTCCCTGCCAAAGCCTCTGGTTAACCGGAAATCAATTTCGCCGAGCATCGGAATGCTGAGTAGTAGATTATAAAGGGGAGCATAGACTCGTCGGTTGAAAGTCATTGCCCGTCCCATGCTCTTATGTTTCTTCTTTGTTTCATCTTGCCAACAAGTCTGTCCAATTTCTTAGTTTGCCGGAAGCTTGATTTGCGGAGTGACTGGTGACGAGGCTTGTTCTACAGGTGCTGCAGGCTGCAGTGTCCAGCGTAGAGGACCATGGATATACGATGGACTGCGGGCTGGAAGGTGTCGACGGGTTTCTTCCACGCACCGAGGCGACACAGTTCCTCAAAAAGTGCAACGAGAACAGGGCGCTCGCCGTTGGGCAGCTGGTCAGCTGTGCCGTCGTCTCGGAGACAGGAGGGGGTCGTGTCCTGCGGCTCACAGCTCGTCCATCTGCTGTTGGCGCTGTCTACGTATGTGAATGCCGGGGTCCCTGGTTGGGCACTTTCGGACTATGAGCTTTCTCCTTAGTGCACACTGGGCTTTAGTCTAACCAAGTGTTCCAGTGATGACCATTCTGTGACTGCAGTGTTAGGTGGTATTGTAGGAAAATAGGGGGGGACTTCTCTCGGTTGAAATTGCTTATGATCTTCACTAGAGAAAACTTACTCGAGAGGTTTCTGCTATATGGTCTCGACTTGAAGCCGGTTCATACGTACATTGCAGCGCTATATCAACACTAGGAACAGTGCTGTATCAGCAAGGTAAGCGCTATTTCCAGCACTGACTAATAATGCTGAGGTAGTGCATCGGTGTATGTGTGAACGAACGCTGAGGTAGTGCAGTGGTGTACGTGTGAACGGGCCTTAAAGCCTAAAGGCATGCGCTGAACTGGAATTTAGATTTCACGAAATAAGGCTGCAGAAGTGTTGAACAGGAAGCTATGAACTTCAAAACGTCATGCATGCATACATACATATCTCAAACGGATGGCCATATTTTCGGAAAAGAAGGGCGCGATCAAGCGAGGACTGTGACTCCACGATCCTCCTGGAACAGTTGAGAATGAAGGGGACCGTCTTGCTTCTTTCCTCCTAGCTTCGGTTCACCAGCTCGAGGGGACAAAGCGAAGAGGAGAGGAAATGAGAATCGTGATGTCACATGCCTTGTTGGTTGTGTTCAATCACACTTTTCGAAAAGTATGACTAACCATTGGAGGTATTGCTGTATGTGTTTCGCGATGTCCCGCTTATCGCTGCAGCCTTGTTTTGTGAGCTCCAAATTTCGGTTTAGCATCCCTTTAACAGTAACAGCCGGTAATTCTTTGGAAAGTTAATAGTCAACTTGGAGAAATTAGGAAATTGTTGTGAAATCTGGCGAAAACCTTACCAGAATCAGTGAGGTTGGAGGAATTTATGACTTTATTGCACGCTTTCTTTGATGCATTATGTATTCGGAATAAACATTGTTAAGAGCTGGGTCTGCCTGTGAGCTTTTGCTGTTCAACACATTATGTTTCTTTGTGTTTTTTTATGGCAGTATGTCTTTTTCTATATAGATTGATTCAGCTGTGGCATGATACATGAGCACCTTGTGTGTTTTGTTATTTTAGGAACCTGAGGATTTTACTTTGCACAGCGTGGTACCTGGCCTCAAAGCTGAATTGACTGTGCTCGAGGTAAGATGACCTGTCCATCATCTCGTGCTCTCTTACATATAGAAAGAGCGCTAGATGACTTTCTAAAGAGGTGTGCTAAAATCAAATTAAACTTAACTCTTTATGGTTATATAAAATTTTGGCCAACCTTTTATGGAATGCTTTTACTAAACGCTTAAGCCTATGCTACCTAAGAAGCTAAGCGCAAGCAAGGTAATAATGATTACACGTCTAGAATGATGCATGAGACTGAAGCAGTGAGTTACATGTGTGCATGCTGCTCATGGAAATCAAACTGTATTTGTCACCTGTTCTTTTCTTTTTGGACTACACGCACAGACAGCTATTGCTGGAAAACAGCACAACTACCATATTTACCCAGGTATAAGGCCAATTTTTTTTTCATTAAAAGGGTACATCTAGTTTAGAGCCGATCAAAAGAGATAATTATTGCTGCAGAACGAAGCAATATTATTTCTGACTATGTGAGGAGGCTAGCATTGCAAGCCTACCACAATTTTGCATTAAAAAAAAACACAAATTAAAAAAAAAAAAATTTTAAAGGGCATGTACGGGATACATATCTTCCTTATAATTAATGCAATTAAATGCAAAGGTGCAAGCGAGCTGGATAAGAATGACGAAAATAATCCCTGGAGAAGGGGAACAGGAGGGTCCGGTTCGATATCCGGACCAGGCGGATTTTTTCGGTTGCTCACCAGTCACTTAGCTGTGTTTAGAGATTTGTGTTTGTCCTTTGTCCCCCTTGTTCCCCTTCTCCAGGGATTATTTTCGTCATTCTTATCCAGCTCGCTTGCACCTTTGCATTGAATTGCATTAATTATAATCTTAAAATCGCAAGCTTCACCCTTGTTGATGTTAGACTGGTGGCAGCTGATAAAACCCGTTTCCTCTACTGACGTCTAACCCCTGGTTAGCTCAGTTGGTAAAGCGCTCCACCTGTAATGGAGAGGTCCCGGGTTCGATACCCGGACCAGGCGGATTTTTTCGGTCGCTCACCAGTCACCTAGCTGTGTTTGGAGATTTGTGTTTGTCCTTTGTCCCTCTTGTTCCCCTTCTCCAGGGATTATTTTCGTCATATCTTCCTTGTTTTATTTTCCCGCTAATTTTCTTTTTGTGCAATACTTACGATGTTAAACACAATTTAGGTGGGGGTCATGGCCCACTCAAACTCCGCCCATTACAGTTAAGCATTGGCTTAACTGCTCGGCCGAAAACTCTTGCAAGCCTACCGTAAAATCCAAAGAGAAAGCCCACCTAAAATTAAAAGAAAATTGGGTGAAAATAAGGAGCGGGCTAACTTTCCGTGGGCAGTCAAAAAAGTTGAAAAAATGCTATTTTTAGATCACGTGTCTCTGTCAACCTTGTTGTTGCGCCAAGGGGCAACGAAGCAAAGGTGACTACTTCCCAGTCAGCAATGTTTACTTAAATCCCGCCGTAGCTAACTAGACGCATTTGCACCACGGTCATCATTCATCCGAACACTGCGATTACTAGGAGTGGGCTATCTTTCGGTGTTTAAAAGAAAATAGTAAATCAAGCCAAAAATAGAGGTGGGTTTCCTTTGGGGGGGAGGATTTTACGGTAATGTTTCCCTTTCGCAACATCCGGTCCATCTAGTCTGGCGTCTGACACCGCCTGCTAGTCGTACAAGTAGATATACAGCAACCTCTGGTATCATCTGGTATTCCACCACCATCTCTTGTTGTCTGCAATGCCCGTAAAACGCTGACATGAAAGCTGCGCGTCAGCATCCATTTTCGCCTTCGTCCATATGCTATTCCGCCCCCGTCTAGAAAACATCAACATCACTATGAAGAGGGTCTACTGTTTCCTGGCGAGTATATCTACTTCCTGGTTTCTCGCACCCACAGGCACAAGAAGAGGGGCTCGTCGTGACGTGGCAAGGCGTGGAGGGCTGCGTCCACCGTAGTCACCTGGCCGGCCCGTGGGAGCTTCCGCGCGAGTACGCAATAGGACAAAAGCTCACGGGCACCTTGCTGTACGTCCAGCCGCTCGTGCAGCAGCCATACTTCAGCCTGAAGAGTCCCATCGTCAAGGGACAACAACCGTTTGGAGCCCTGCGCGTGGGCGCTCTGGTGGAGGAGGCGCAGGTGACGATGGTGGATGCTCATGCAGCCCACCTGCGGCTCGAGCCCTCGGGCGTGAGGGCGCTCTGCGCCAGGGCCCACCTGGCCGACGAGGAGGTCGAAGACGCCCGGGACTTCGTGGCACCCGGCGAGCATCGCAGGTTTGTCCCCAGCGGGCGCTTGTCTCTCTTAGATTCGTTGAGGCTTTGACCTGTAGAGTTAATGTAAGAGTCTAAAGAGAAAGGTACCACGCATTTTGCCCACTTCGAAATGGCGGGTGTAGACGCGGACATTGGTGGTCTTAAAGGAACCGCTTCCGACGCTTTGTAATATACGAAGAAGCAGAGAAGCGTTTCTTGTAGGGCCTAGCTCTTTTCTAGCTCCCTTTGCAAGAAAACAACAGCATTGCGCATTGAGTAAAAATAATAAAAGCAACTCATTGCAGCAAAAGAAACATGCCCCACCTATCGTCTGCTCCCTTTTTCCGCTTTTTTGTCGCTCTATTTCTTGTTCTTTCTCTCGGGACCATCAATGTCAGCTCTGGGGATTGGCCGCGTTCCGCTCCCCTCTTGACCCCTTGCTTTGACCGGACAGCCGTGCTGGGCTTTTCACGTGTCTATATCTGTGGCAATTTGTGACTGGCCTTCTTTCCTTCGAGGAATAAGTGTTGATGACAGTGAACGCAAAGAAGGGGATGCTACGATTAGACCCGCTGCCAAATGCACAACACCGTCCCCGGCGTTGAAGGGAATTCTGGAAACAATCTGTACTGAACCAGTTGTAGCCATTGTAGCAGACGACGAAGGCAATGAAGGAAATGTGGGCAAGCGAGGGCAGGCGGGCAACTGCGCTACCCCACGCTATCTTCTTTCTCACTCTCTTCAGTGTCGCATGTTAGATTCCACAGCCTTTTGGGACTTTGTAAAAGGTTCATTTATGGTCTTCATTTTTTAGGGGTGAAGCTCCTTAGGGTCTAGTCTTGTCCAGCGTCCGTGCTCACATCGATTGCCATCTCATCTGTCTTTTTAAAAAAAGAAAAAAATGTTTCGCAGTCGACAGGATTCGAACCTGTGCGGGGAGGCCCCAATGGATTTCTAGTCCATCGCCTTAACCACTCAGCCACGACTGCGGGACGAGTAGGGGGCTCTGAGATGTGATAGTAACTCAAGAGCTGGGGATGTCATGGATGAAACATCGCATGTAGCCGCTCAATGTCTATACAGAAGAGGGTGCTGCGGTGAAATGCGTATATAATCGCGTTAAACTTTGCATGCATTGGCTTAACGTTTATAGACGAGAGGGCGCTGCGGTCAAATGCTCAAATGAGTATATAACCATGTTCCATACCACAGATTCTCTTTCTGACATGGACCGTTGACTTAAGCGGTGGAGATGCATTCCCACGGCTTCTAGCGGATCCAAGCTGATCCGCTAGGAGAACCACTGGCTCTGCATTTCACCGACCATAAAGCAGTAATAATGAAGTCGAAACGCAACCCGGAACTCAGCACTACCTATGAGCCATAAAAAAAAAAATCAGCACCATCAACACTACCTATGAACAAAATCAGTATCATGAGCACTACCAGAGCTTCGCCCCAATCAACATCATTCACCACGTGGAAATGCGGTCATTCTTGTTTATTGTTTTCATTCAAATGTTTTTTGAAGATTGGTAAATTTTGGCAGGTTGCCCAGCATACATGTCGTGCTCGTCAAATTGTTGCGATAAACATTCACTGTAATGTTGAGAGCATGAACCAAGCAAGATTGTTTGTTTTAGCCTCAAAGGGCTATGATGTGATATTAAATTTAAATTTATGAGCTGTATATTGTGTAATATGATACAGGCTTACCAGTGCATAAGAATAATAATTTGGGAGTTTAATTTTCATTGTGTGCTAAGCGATTTTCCGAAGTTGCGGTCCGAGAGCATGTGATTGAAATTAAGGCCTCAATTGAGCATGTGCTTGCGCAAGCTGGAGCATTCTTCAGAACAGTGTGCTCAGACTCGAGGCTTTTAGAGGATTCTGTCCATTTACTTTCAAACTGTGAAGTAAAAAAATGAAACAGTAGGAGCTGACTAATTTTTGTTTTCATTATCATTCGATTAAGGCTACGTGGGCTGCCGATCAATTCCACCCAAGCCCATGTATTTAACTGCTATATGTTATCAAAACGCTACAGCCTAATGTGGCTCATAGATTGGACTCTAGTACTGCATCATTACTTGACTGTTCAATTTACACTAGGATATAATGAATCTGTCGGCAGATATTGAGGTTCACGTTCATGACCAATCCATGCAGTGATAGAAATTGTCGAACTAACAATGTCTAGAGCAGAGCATGTAGTCTCGGCATTGCCAACCCAAGCACGTTGCTGTGATGAACATGGATGGCATGAACCGGTGACAGCGCATGTGACAGCTTGTTGTGGTTGCGATTTGAGGAGTTAAATATGCTTAAATTTTCTTTGATGTTTTTTGTAACAGTTTTCATGCAGGTTGAGAAGCTAACTTACATCTCACATATTATGAACATAAGGGGATTGAGTTTAAAAAGTATTTAGCAAAAGTGAGGAGGTTATTTTATAATCTCTGTAACTTATGCATTGAAACGTTTCTCAGCACATTTACTAAAGAGCAGACTCGGTGGCACCGTGCACAAAAAAAGAGCATACAAGTGACTGAAGTCTTTTTGGGGTGGTTATCATTTGGGCAAAATGGCAAAATAGAAATATGTACTGCCCAGTTGTCAAGTGGTGCATATTAGATTGTCAGTATTCATCCGTTTAAAGCGCTGTTTGGTTTGTGCTTTCTTTATCATGGTGCTTTTATCACCAACAGGTGCCGCGTCTTGGCACTGAGCTACATGGACCGTGTGGTGGTTGTGTCTATGAAGAAGTAAGTGGACTCCTATTTTTTATTTTTTTTTCACTGTATAATAGTTAGAATTATTAGCTAGTGTTGTCAGTCTGGTTCATGATGAGCGCAGTCCAGAAGGAAAATCAACATTGCTAGTTGTGTTCTGTAGGTACACATGTCACTGTCAAAAAGGGGGGGGGGGGGGGGGGGGAGAGAGAAATGGTTATACTACGTAGTAGAGATGACAGGGAAGGGAGTTGACATTAGTAGTCAGCAGTGTGTGGTAAAATATTTGGCTAATTTTGACATGACCAGGTGTGAGACAGGTGCCCAGACAAGTCTGGTGTTTGACGATTAGAAGCTGGTGTACAATTCGAAATACAGGTCGGCCTTTTTACAAACGAAAGCCACAGATCTACTGTATTTTTTAGTCTGTAAGTTGCGGTTTTTTCCCCAAGTTTCAATCGGTTCGTCCTATGGAACGATGCGACTTGTATGCATTTTTGTTTGATATGTATGGATTTTAATTATGCAAGATTTAGGTCGCATCAACACTTGTATCGAAGAATTGTGACTTGTACAAAGGTGCAACTGGTACATCAAATTTTTCTTGAAAACTGCCTTTATAGACTTTTTCGTCTCAGTAGTAGTTACCCGACTGGCAGAGAGAGGGCGCTGACACACCTGCCACCATTGGGTGGCTTCAATTTAGTTGGTTTCAGTTTTAGAGCGCTCGCAGCTGTGTTTATGTTTTGTGTCATTTTCGCCTATGTCGTGATACAAATGTGCCCGTTATAGACCTTTGCAAAAAGAGCGCTCTGGCCGCCGCCATTTTGCGAATCGAGCGACCCCTATCAGCCAGAAATTTCTGGCACCCGCCTGAGCTGTGGAAACCCGGTCAGCGTGACTCCCCACCTGCATTTTGCATTCGGAGTTCGCCGGCTTTCCTAGGAAGTTTTTACTTTATTCGCCTGTTTAGGATGCTTACCCTTTGTGCGTTATCTTCCACTGTGAGAACCAGGGAATACCAAGGCTCGTAGCCTGCTCGGCCTTCGCAGGAAACGAACGAAAAGAGCGAACGTCAAGCAGCCCGCGACGCAGGCAGTTGGACGTGCTTGGAGGATTATTTCCGTTGAGATAATCTCCGAAAAGCCTTCCCGGCTGTGTTCCGGGTCTTCGCGAAAAATAGCTGATAGGGTCGGGTCCGGGGACAGAATAGACACGTTCATTCATTTGCTTTGAAGCTGTGCAAAAAAGCTGCTCTCGTCTACATGTTCCCCAAAACACGCCGGATTCCATCCGATTGTCGTGAATATGCTGTGTTATTTGAGACCTTTCTCAAATCCTGTTCGGATAACGCGGCACCGTGGGTACGTACAGTATATGTTGTTCGATTGATGAGACTCGTTGAATTTCATGTTGTGGGCGGGGAATATCCATGCAGTTCGGATATCCTGTGTGGTCAAATATTCTGACCTTTATAGATTGACACGGCAGAGTGTACGGTGCCGTAAAACGATGAACATAAAATGAAGCAAATATTCCAGTTGCAATTGTTCTGTCGCGCACGGACTCGCCAAAACAACTTTCATTTCTTTGTTTTTGTGCCCAAAAAGAGAGCACTGCTTCCTTAAAGACCTCTATAAATTAAGTTCGCCACAGAACACAAAATACAAAAAGAAAAAGCGGCAATTCAGCCGCTACCAGCGTCCGGAATCGCACCTACGTAGGCTACCATAACCCACTGACGAGAAACTCCACAGCTCAGCGCAGTCGGGCAACACTGACGTACACTCTCAAAACCAGGGACGCGCGCTGTAAATCGCTTCGTTCGAGACTGCCGCTGGAAAGGTCTATAGCACACAGCCAATAAAACTGTGGTACTGAGCCAACTTGAGAAAGTAGAGGCAGCGGTTATGGTCATAGCAGGGTTGAGCAATATCTCATGATTTTACAGAAGTATATGGGACTGACCCTTCAAACTTGTTTTTTCAATATGGTTGTCTTCCACACACTAAAGGAAAATTGATTAGTAACGCCTCTCTGAACAGTTGAGTCGAGCCATGCTTTAAAAATAATAGTGATGCGGAATGCAAGTTTACAATGTGCTCGTTTTGTAGGTCCGTCCTCGAGAGTTCGTTTGTAGCAACCGATACCCTTGTTCCGGGAACCAAGCTTGAGGTGAGTGGTGTTATGTTGTGCTGGTCTGTTGCTTTTATTTTACAGCGAAGCTGTATATCACCCGTAGGTTGGGCTTTTTCGTGTCCGTCGATAGAAAACCATCGTGCATGCCTTTTTACTGTTTGCACGCGTCTCTTCTCATGTGGTTTTGATACTTGTTTCAATAAGAACACCACAAAACTAGTGTCAAAACCACATGATAGATGATAAGCATGTAGCGCTCCTCGCTTGCATTTCTCGGTAAAAATTGCGGTTGCATAAGCTGCCGCGGCAACAGCAGCGTACGAAGTCTTTCATATATAAAAAATGTTTTGGTACGGTGCATTTACTTTTCTTTCATCAATCATTTGATATAGACCCTTTTGCTGTTTAAACATGAACTTCCGCTTGCATCCCAAGCGACTTCCGGTCGCACCGTCTTTGCAAGCCTGTTGAGCTTGCTTATGTCACCGGTGCTAGAAAGTATAAATGCTACACGGACAACAAAGTTGGAGATTTAATGAGGGCCTTCGGCTGTACTTTCTTACATCTTGGAGGAGGCAAGTTGGTTTACAAGAATACTCTAAACATTTTAACGGATCTCCCGCTTCGTTCTTTTGGCGTTCACCTGGAAAAATGGTAGTCAAACGTTTCATCTAGATTTCAAGCAGCGGTGTTAAGGTGGCCTTTGCTCATTTTTTTTGTGAACTGGTAGTTCTTTGGGACGTCAAAGACTGGAGCACCACCTGGTGGCGTTAGCCATAAAAAAAGGTCTATAGAGCAGTGGGCAATCGTTGCAGGTGCTACCACAGCTTGGCTGTCCAACCACCTTCACAGCATGGATTTAGTATAATCCTGGCTGTAGCTAGATGTGACTGTTTTCTTGGTTTCAGTTAAGAATTGTTCATGCAATCAAGCCCACTTATTATAAATCCGGAAGTAGTGGAATATCAGATATAATGAAAAGTTTGTTTCACGCTCCTCTTTGTATACCTTCAATGTGATTTGAACCCACTTTCAAAGAAGAAATTCTAGTGGGGCCGCATATTTAACAAAAGCAGTTTCCAAATGAAGAGAAACTCTTCATGGAAAGGGTAAAAAAACTAAAGCGTCTCGTGTTCAGGCAAAAAGAAAATTTGCCAGTTTCTCTATATTTCAGCGCCAGGCGATATGGGGCCGGCTTCTCCCGGAATTGGAGGCTGCAAAATTATATTCCGTTTCACCTTACGTCCAGACGCAGCGGATGCTACGAGCCATCCTAGCCAATCCCGCTCTGTGGACGCAGCCGCTTTCCGTGCGTCGCTGTGCACCCTCCCCAAGGTCGTGTGACTTTGACACGGCCTTAGATTGGCTCCGATGGCTCGTAGCATCTGCTGCGCTCAGACGTAAGGTGAAGCATAGTAGTGTAGACCGCATATAACGTATGTCGCGGGAGTCGCTAAAATCCGCACTATGCTATAACCAAAACATCAATTTTTCAGGCCAAAATATATGCCATCAGACAACTTACCTTTGTAAAAGAATTTATTTTATGTTAGATGAAAAATAAAGCTTAGTTTGAGGAAAGTCTTTATTTCACCAGACTAGTACACTTTTCTCTCAAGTGTGCCATACATTTTGAAAGAAATGAGCGACTTTTGCCTGGTGCAGCCTTTTAACGGCGTCGCGGGTTGCAGACGGACGTTGCGAGCGTTCAGGATTGCTAACCCTAATCACTTTTCTCCGGCGATGAAAACGCGTGAAAATTCACATCCTTTGTATGGTACGCGCCACCAATACCGTCAACTTAAGCACAGGCACGAAATGCTCCAAATAAGAAATCCGGGCGATGTTCGAAAACACAAATGCTTAGAAAGCACCACTGTAGTCGAAGTAAACAAACACGACGACACGGGCATTTCTGCCATCTTGAGAGTGCCGCCACAACATCGCCGCACGAGTAGGTGGATCTTCCCTTCTAGTATGTGCTGGGTTATCATAGCGACACACATAGAAAATTCACTGTCAAGGATAGCGCTTTTACGCGGAACGATGAGCTTCCACCACGCTGTCTACGTCGACGATCACAACCGACGCCATGTTTGCGGATAGAAGCAGCCGGCCCGCGACCGGCATGCAACGCGCGCGAACACTTCTCCTCGACCTGCAATTGGTCTGTCGTTGCGGTTGTTTCCAACACAGCGGAGGGACGCACGCAGTATGTATGATCTCTATGCACGTGAACGACACATGCGTGCGTCCCTCCGTCGCTATGGCAACTGAAGCCTCTCTCTTCGCTTCTCCCCGCTTCTTCGAGCAACCTCCTTGCCCCGCGAGTGCCGCTTGCGGCTAGCGCCGTTATCTAGTGTCGCACAGGGAAGCGTGCTCGCTCCGCCTTTATGCGGTCGGCGGGCTGTTCCAGAAACCGCACTATACCCGGTATTTCCCTTCGCGCGCCCGCATTTTAAGCGGTATGTAATTACATGGAGTTCTATGAGAGGCGAACCAGTGGTTTAAAAAAAGCCGCGTTACACCCGGTCCTGCACTATAAGCGGTTACGTCGTAAGTGGTCTATACTGTATAGCATGCAGATAACGAGGCGACTGCAGGAACGGAAGTGTTGGAATGCAAAACGCTAGTCTTCTGCAAGCTCTGAACGGAGCAGTTCTGAGTGAGTCATTCTGCCGGACGTTGGCTTTGCAAGTTAGCTCCTCTTTACAACCAACGACATTACTGCCACCAGAGAGGCTTTGGTAAACAAAGCGGTCACAATCTGCACCATTCAAACGGAGAACCAGTGAGAGACCAAGCTGTTGCGATTGTTGATGCAATTTGTACATACAGTAGAACCTCATTGATATGTTCTCGGTTGATACATTTTCCCGGCTGCTACGTTCATAAACGCCGGTCCCATTTTACTTCCATAGAGACACGTGTATTTGTTTCCTGCCTGCTACGTTTGCTTTCCCGGTTTTTACGTCCAAAAGTGTCGGCATCGTGGCGCACCGGGAGACAGGCTGCCACGCTGCCTTCAAAGCGAAGCTAGCGGGGCAAAGCCGAACCATGCAATGCGGGTCGCATGGCATGTGTGGCCACGCAGATGCCCATCTTTCCTTTACTCCTTTCCCCCTCTTTTCTGTCTCTCTGTCTCCTCGCTGGGTTTTGCTGAGGTCTGCCACAGCTTCCTATCTTGCCCGGGTGTGACCTTGAAGCACTGCTCGGTTGGGGAGTGAGGCTGGCGAGGTGGCAAACACTTGTTCTCTCTTGCTCTCTCTTTCATCTGTCCTTCTCTTTCTCTGGCATGAGGTGCACCCGCATGCACGCTGCGCTTCTAGTTTCTCTTCTGCTCGATTGCGTGAACCGTGGTGTTTCAGAGTATGTGCGCTTTGCTCTCATTGACGACGGTCAATCTCGAAAAAGTAAGGCTTTCTCTTTTAAAGAGAATTTCGATATACTTCAGACGGTGAATCGCAATCCCAGCCGGAAGAGATCTGACATCGCAAGAGACCTCGGACTCGCGCCGTCAACTTTGAACAGCATCGTCGCCAAACGAAAGGAGATAGAGGCGAAAGCTCCTTTCTATCAACTAGGCTTTAAACAGGCTCGGGGGGGCAAAACATGCAAAGTTGAAGTGTCTTAGTCCTCGACAGTTTGGTAAGTACACATAAAATAAACCATTGTATATAAGCTGCTTTCTATCTTATGTAGAGCCCCCCAAGTGGGTTATCAGTTGTTACGTTCTTTTCTCCGCGGTCCCCTGAAAAACTTATCAATGAGGTTCTACTGTATTTTTTCTGTACTTTTACCCTTATCGCAGTGATGTGATTCCTGCGCCAAACTGCGCCAAGGGGCTAACCCTGCTACATCCCGCTACATTTCGCCAAAATATGGCTAATCTGCGCCAAGCCTGCGCCAAAGGACCAGTTTTGGTCGCCTTTCAAAAACGAAACTAAACTGAGAACCGTGAGCTAGGTGGCACAAGACGCCGCCCGACACAAAGTACCCTGCATCAATCGTGTATTCGGTCTTGCATGATTTTTCCCGCCGTCTGGCGTTTCACGCTTTCGTCGTCTCGGAAATCTCGTCTCGAGTCTTTTTTTTTTTTTTTAATTTTTTTAGCGATAGATGCGGGTGTGTGCGGATGCTCCGACGTTAGTGCGCAGGGTGCCCGACATGCCGTCATACTGTGAAACAAAACCACGTTTTTGCGCGGCGAGAGTCACTTTGTGAGCTGAAGAGCTCGCGCGACCACGGCGACTGTGGTCGCGCGACGTCGTGTGTTGCCGTCCTCACGTCGCTGCAGATATGGCGCTTTCTAAACTGAAACGCATCGACATTCCTGCTCTTGTTTAAATCATACGCTGCTATAAAAATCCCTCTAACTCAAAAAATGCTTTGCGAAGTATTGATTAGCTAGGTTTCTCTCGGTGGGCTTTCTTTCGGGAAGGACCCCGGTACAGGAAAAATCTGCTGCAAAAGAAAGTTGGTGAAGGAAGTGAGCTAAAGCATAGAAGGCAATGTTCACACGCTGAACCCGCACACCGCGCTTGTTTGTTCGAGTTTAGTCATTGCACAAAGCGCTCCAAGAGCTTTTTAACCCTGATTCACAATGTCTTGCGTCAATACGCTCAGGTTCTTTTTTTTCTGTGTGTTTAGCCTGTACCTTGCCTACCGGCCTGGCAAGCACGCGCCGCTGGACTGTTTTCTGTGGTGCTCGACAGTATATTTTGCATACTATTTTGGGAACCAGTTGGCGACGGAGCGGAGTGGCGTAGTTTCGGTTTCGGGCGAACAGCTGTTGTCTCCGCTCGCGCGACGAAGCACGTGTAACTGCAAGCCTGACGAAGTTGCCCTCACGTGGATGTGTACATGATTGCACGAGAGGCACCAGCCAGGAGGCTTGCAATCCATTGTTTTACGTTTGCTTACTTTTTATACAAATCTGCCACATCGGGAACCAGTAAAACGATAGCAAGTGTTTTTTTTTCGGTTTGCTCGGCAACGCCTACAGCACTGTATACTTGTGGGATGTCTCAACAGCAAAAACACAAGCAGCGAGTTCCGCCCAACACGTCACAACACAACACAAAGTGCCCTTCGTTTGTCCAGCACTTAAAACAAATATTTATTTTTCTAAGAATATATATGCTCCAAAAGCCACTTTTTTCTGCTCCAAAGCACTGTTTTGGCTGCTCCAAAAGCCACTTTTGCTGCTCCAAAACACTGTCTTGGCTGCTCCAAAGGCCACATTTGCTGCTCCAAAACACTGTTTTGGCTGCTCCAAAAGGCGCTCCAAAATGGCTTAGGCCAATCGCATCACTGTTATCGTTCAGAGGCTTCTTCCGCGGTCGAATCTGATGAAAGTTAAGTTTCTAAAAAAGTTTGATGCGCAGAGTCTGGCACGCCAACTGTGCTTTATCACATTTTACTGTTACGAGGTGTCAGCGATTACTAAATAAGACCATTACAATCGGTGCCTGGAAAGAGCACTTTCTAGCGTTCTGACAGTTTCAATAACAGCCCTTTAATTAAAAAAAAGAAAAGTGGCGAGTACTTGTTTGCGCTAATTAAGTCGCATTCTAGTTGCACATTGTCAGTTTCATTCGCAATTCAAATTTGCTGTAATGTGTTCTATTTATTTTAAGGCATTAATACGAGGATAAGCTCTCCACCCATGCCAGTCGCAGGTTGTGCACTCTGCATACAGTAAACTCTCACTTGAGTGAACTTCAAGGGTCCCAAGGAAATAGTTCACTTAACTGAAAAATCACTAAACTGAATATATTCACTAAAATATGCAACAACATAAAGCACAGCATGCATCGAGTCAGAAGTGTAAAGTGCGATTTATGGAGCCATGTACTTCGATATATACAAAGTGCAAAACAGTTACGTTGCTGCCTTTCTCATTTTGAAAAAAAAAAAAGTGATTTTCATTTGCACTGGCACTCTTAAAGCGCATGAAGTAACAAAGCTGTCCAGAGAGTCAATGTTTTTTTGCACTTCCTCTGGCATAGCTTGTTGCTGTGACCAATCCATACCTAAGCGGCATTGTCCACTGGCTTAAAATATCCCGTGCAGAGTCGTATCCTGTTGGGATTGAACGCAGTTTCTCCTTCAAGCTTCGACTTTTGCTTCACTATCGTTGACAACGTCGGTGGTGGAATCCCATAGTCCTTCGCAATGTCCACTTGCCTTTGACCGTTGTCCAGGCACTGAAGGATTTTGAGCTTGTCTGTCAGAGACAACTGCTTCCGTTTCGTCATACCGTATTAACTCGGGTAATAGCCGCACTATTTATGAACGAGGCCCTTGCTTCTACTTTCCCGCGAAGCACATTTACAGCCAATCATTGCGTTACGCATAAATAACATAGCGAATAACCAGATCGAGAACACGATTCTCTATACAAATGCAATCTTCATAGATGGTATCTTCGCGCAAAGACGTTATCTCTATCCTGTGGACCGCTGGAGTCATGCTGTCGATCGCGGTGATTGGCAATCTGCATGCTCCACGGAAAAGCGACCCCTCAGGTTTTCTTCGTAAACAGTGCGGCTGTTACTCGAGTAAATACGGTACTCATTACGAAAGTGGGCGCACAAACTGCCGTCCTGCCGTTGTTACCCAAAACTAAAATGGCTGAAAGGAACCGATGACAAAGAAAAACAGACGCACCATGTGGTTCGTTTTCGTCTACTGCACCACCGCTTTGCCTCGGAGGCGCTGGAAACGGCAGCAATGATATGCCACTGCTGCAGGCGGTGCCATATCATTGCTGGCGTTTACAGCAATGATATGGCGGGCATCGGCTACACCAGCATTGCAGGGCACAAAACTTTGTTGAACTGATTGCAAAAAATATTCTGGGTCTACCGATCAAGTTTGTTGAACTGAAATATTCGCTAATCTAAAATTTGTTTTTCATTTAACTGAAACATATGTGCATAAAATGCATAGGAAAACAGCCGGGGATTTTTTTGAAGTTTGTTATTCTGGAATATTAGTTAAACCGACGTTCGCTCAAGTGAAAGTGTACAGTATTTACAACTCCTCGCTCTACCAGTTTCTCGCAGCGGTAAATATGCATAGGGAGAAGCCCACCTTCAGGCATGTTTGTGCTCGTGCGTGCATTGAAAATTGTATTAAACACAACTGTGATGTTATGAATGCAAAAGCATTAAGTGTCTCGTAGAGTGAAGCCGGTGAAAAACGGCAACTAAATTCCCATTGGCTGGGCCTTGTCGGTAGCAGCGAAACGAGCAATAAATTCCCATTGGCTGCAATGTGTCATATCAGATGCTTCGTCACAGAAGGCGGCGGGGCCGCTCAAGGTCAAAGATAATGTGCCTCAGAAATAAAACACAAAGAAAAGCACAGCGACGCAGATGCATCGCCACGGAAGCCGTGGACCCGGTGGGGTTCGCCACACCTGAACAGTGGGAAAGTGTGATGTCACCGCCAGAGCGCCACGTGAAAAAGGAAGCCGTGGTGCGCTGCTTGTAGGAATTCTTTTGCATTCCTACGCGTAAGCAGTTTTAAGTGTCTCTGACGAATTTTTTTTAAGCTACTTTTCACTGCATGTTAAATAAGTAAAACAGTGGCTAGACAACCAGCCCACGCTATAGGTTACAAAACCTTGACACGCCGTACGAATGAAAGAAAGCACTTTTTCGTGAAGTCCGGATATAGAAAATATATTTCCAATTCCCATCGACTTTGTCAGAACTGAGTTTGACTGTATAGGGAAAGAAAGCTCCACAGATGTACTATATTGTGGAACTGTACTACTGTGCCACTTACATTATTTCTTTGAGCTTTCCCGTTTTAAAGCCCGTCGAGTAGCGGGCAGATTGTGCACGACGCGGTCGAGCGGACGTTGTACCCAGTTGTCGGTGTGCTCTCTCCTCGCAGGGCACAGTGCAGCGGGCAGTACCGTCAGGTTTACTGATTAGCCTGAGCCCCTGGGTTCAGGGCTTTGTCCAAACGCTGCATGTGAGTGATCGTCCCGGCCGCCAGCCAGAATCTGGGGCTTCGGTGCGTTGCCGTCTGCTCCGCATCGACCGCAGCTGTGATCCGCCCAAGTTGTGGCTCACCTGTCGCCGGGGGCTCGTCACATCGAGGCGTCCGATTGTGGCCTCGTACCAAGAGGCCACCCGTGACACCGTGACGGATGGCATCGTGGTGCAGGCATCGCCCAAGGGGCTGCTTGTGTCGCTGTACAACGGCGTCAAGGTAAGTGACCGTTTCTTTATCTTAAGTGCACCAGTGAGCATGTGTTATGCAGGAAGGGGGAAAAGGACAACCTTATATGGTTCAGCTTCACGAAATAGAAGAGTAACAAAAGTGGCGATTAGATTTAATTGATGTGCGCTACCCCACCAAAGTTTGAGGCACGGTCATTTTGGTTTTTTTCAAAATCCAGCAGTCGTCTCAGCAAACCTTGTTCCTCATGGTTCGGCCTGCAAAAGTTTTATGTGTGCCCGAAGGTGTTTATAAAATCTGTGCGAAACTGTTTCGTGTGTGACTTCACCGAAAACCTTAATTTTTTCAAATATTTACCTTAGTCAGGTTTGTTTCTCGGCATTTCTAACATGTTTCTGGTGTTCTTCTAACGACTACAGGCTGCTGTCTTTGGAACTGTCCTGGAGTTGATCACTTGGTGTATAAAAAACCTTCTTCAGAAATGCCTCATTGTTTCTCACCAAGTGTGCAACTGCTGAGGCGGTTGCACAGCAATGGCAGTGCTTGCACACTGAGATATGGTCACGTGTGACACACTGCAACAAAGCTGTCATTGCTACTTCAAGACCAGTAACAGCTAGTTGTAATTGGCGTGGCTCTGAGAGCTATGAAGGTATACGAGCAGTCTTCCTTGGTGCCATAGTACAGTTGCTTCAAATGACCATGCCACATGCATTCAGATTCTACATTCTTTGTGGCACTTAGATGTATCCTTTGTAAATGTGACATACCTTTCTGTTTTCAGTGTGTATGGCAATGTCAGTACTCTTAGTATCAAAATATTCTCAATTTGGGTGATTACTGCAAGTGTATTACATTCCCATTGTATGTGTGCTACCGTAATATCCCGAGAGATAGCCCACCTAACATCAAGAGCAAATCGGCTGAAAATATGGAGTGGGCTAACTATCGATGTACAATCGAAAAAAGTTTTTAAAAATTGCTATTTTTAGGTTGTGTCCCTTCCAAGGTTGTTATGGTGGCGAGGGGCAAAGAAGCAAAGATGACTACTTCCTGGTCAGCAACGTTCGCTTATACCCTGCCATAGCAAACTAGCCGCATTTACGCCAAGGTTATCATTGATCTTAACACTACTATTACTAAAAGTAGGCTGTCTTTCGGTGTTTAAAAAAATATAGCAAATCAAGCCTAAAATAGGGGTGGGCTATCTTTCAGGGGTGGGGCATCTCGGAATTTTACTGTAGTTCTTTTTTTTAGCTCGTCAACTTCCACAGTGCTTGGAAGTACTTTAAGTACATTGTACTTAAAGTACTACTTTAAGTAGGTTTAGAAAACTTGTACTTTACTTGAAGTGCATTCTCCGAGTATGTACTTGTACTTTACTTAAAGTATTTTTTTTCTGGTACTTCCCGAGGAAAGTACAATTCCCGACTTGAAAGTACATTCCCCAAATTTGGTTTTGTTACATTTGTATCACAAAATGATGCTTTGTCAACTCCGAAGAGAAACTGGGAGGGATATTCTACTCTTGCCAGAAACGTGAGCAGACGACGCATCGCTCCATTTGTTGTGGTAGCGGCTTTCCCCGTAGCTTTTTTAACTCTCGCTACTTCTCGGTCGGTCAGCGCAAGCGAGGAGGTTTAAAATATTAGGAGAGCGAAATTAATCATAATGTAGCACCTGAGACTGTGGTGCAAAAAAATTTAAGTTACAAGTTGAAGGAAAAGACAACAGAGGAGAACGTCACAATGTTTTGAGGCATTCTCTTTTGTCTTTTCCTTCCATTTGAAAGTTCCTTAATTTTTTCGCACTCCAATCTCAGGTGTCACATTATGATTAATTATCACCAGCTCGCTTGCACACTCACTGTTTTCTTTTTTTTTTTCATTAAGGAGAATACACTTTTCTATGAGAGGATTCCTTGTGGAAGCTACGTCACTCACTTTATGCTCCCTCCTAGTACATTTATCCGCCTTGAGTGCAACAATTCAGTGCAAGAGGCACCAAATTCAGAAGAGGGACTTCTGAATTTGGCTCCATTCCTGAAAATAAGTACTACTCTGTGGCCACTTGACTTTATCAAATATTCGCTGCTGTTTATGAAAATTGGCCATGCACCCCTGATCACCTCTGGGCCCTGGGCAATGCATACCAGTTAAAAAATTACTATATAGGGGAATGAAAGGGCATCATGAAAGATTGTGTTAATACTTGTACTTTACTTTGAAAGTATGTTGTATTTATAGTACTTGACTTCAAGTATGTTGCACCCAGTGTATGTAATACTTTACTTAAAGTACATCATGTCTCATTTACTTTGTACTTTACTTGAAGTACCTTCTAGATGTACTTTACCCAACACTGAACTTCCACTATATTGTGCTTCGAATATACGCTTGTCATTCTGGTGTTTGCTCTTTGTTTTAGGGTTGGGTGCCTTTACGAGAACTGACGCGCCCTGGTGTCAACCTTGAGGAACAGTTCCCTCCAGGAAAGATAGTCGCTGTTCGTGTGGTAAACTGCAATGCAGCTGAAGAGACTCTCACGCTGTCACTCAAGGTAAATGTTCTCCTACACTTGCTATAAAATTGGCATTGGTGCTTTGGGCACCACTAAGAAGTTTACAATCTGTGTGTTAAACTGAAAGGTTGATGCTTATAAAATGGTCTCCATTTCTTTATAGTTGTCCCCAAAAGAAAATGCTGGCTTCGAAGTTCAGGTAACACTCCATCATACCACCTGTTACTGTTCTTTAAGTATGACAGTCATTACTGCAACTAAGCAAGAATTTTATTGTTTCAGGCAGAGCATGACCATTCGAAGCCTGGAGTTTTGGAAGTGGGAATGGTAATGTATGCTTATTTTTGGGCGATTTGACTCCACTCTTGACATAAACCACTTGAATGTTTGTCCTTTCAGGTCCTTTCGGGCACTGTGGAAGCAAAGTTGGAAGACGGTTTTTCCGTGCGACTTCCCACAGGAACCTCTGCGGCCCTACCCAAGGAGCACCTGTCAGATTTTGCTCCGCACTGTTGCCTCTTGCATGACCTGCTCCCAGTGGGAACACAGCTCAACAACCTGATGGTCTTTAGCACGCTCGGCCGTGTCGTATCCTTGTGCTTTTGTCTGTTGGAGAAAGAGAAAAGGATTTTGTGTGCTCGTGGTGTGGACATTAGGTAAAAGTAATTGTGTTTTGTATGTGTTAAACAGCGGGAAGTGTATCGGTTGCAATGTGCGTCTGGTGTCTGCTCTAAATGAGAAATTTGGCCGGTGCCGTACCACTGCTACCCTGGGGTCTTGGCGTGCATCATGCAGTAGTGATACACAACCGCACACCAGTTCTGCTTACAACTGTTGACTGTTACTTATAAGTAGGGTTCCGCGTTTTCGGTTTCTATTTTTTCAAAATTCGGCGTACTTTTTTCGGTGTTCATTTTAAAATTCAATTTTCGTTTTTTTTTTTGGCATATATTTATGCCCACAAAATTTTATCGGCGTTTTTCGGTGAATATACAATAAACACCAACGGTCACCGGATCAGATGATTCTTGTAGCTCTGATATTGGTGATCATTCAAAGAATAATGGCACAGATACATTGAAAAAGAAATGGACACTTTATTTGGCAAATGTGTGCAACTCTAAAAGAAACAAGAAAAAAAACAGAAGTACAGACAAGTCAGATATAAAGCCTATTTCCAAAACAAAAATGGAACTTCACCGTATGTACATCAGGATTACGTGATCTTATTATACAGTCGACTCTCATTAATTCAAACTCAAGGGGGGCCGAAAATTTGTTTGAATAAAGCAAAGTTTGATTTATCAGGAGTTTCTTCCCATAGAGACTCATAGGATGGGACCTGCATGTTAGTTTGAATTATCCGAAAGTTTGAATTAAGAGATTTTGAATTAACGAGAGTCGACTGTAGTACACACACATGTACATTCCCAAGTTCTCCTCGTTGATCCGCACTCTTTCTTCCCTGTTAATATGACCCTGAGCTTCGAGAATGCCCTCGCAACGCTAACACTGGACACCGGCAGGCTGAGGATATGAAGAGCTGCCTGAGCCAAAATTGGCCAATCAACCAATTGTGACCACCAAAAGAGACACGGTGCGACGTTTTGAAGCACACCATAACATGCAGAGCTTGCATCGAGTCAGTCTTCTTTACAACGAGTTAAAAAACACGCTTGTATATGGGGAGTCATGGGGCATTGCAGACTTCACGTTCGGATCGATGATGCGGCACATTCAAACCAAAACGTCGTGATGGCATCCGTGTATCCCATAAATTCGGGCACATTTCGATAGACACTGTCGTTCCACTTTTTCACCACGGCTCTGCAGTACAACTGGAAGGTCAAAGTGAGCTTTCCAAGTTAAAACTGAATTTTAGAAAATGAATGCGACGTATTTTTATCGGTTTCAATCGAAAATGCCGAGCCTAAAAACTGACCTTTTTTGGTTAAAACTGAATTTTCGAAAATGGATTCGGCGTACTTTTATCGGTTTTTATCGGTTTAAACCGAAAACGCGGAATCCTACTTATAAGCTTTATATTTTGCTTGCCATATTAATTTTTGCATATTTGTTTTTGATGATGACTAGGAAACTGCTCTATTATCTAAAACTCACTTCATTCAGACTTGTGTTGTATGCTATACCCTGCATATTCTTTGGCATGTGTCCACATTCTTGACTAATGTAGAGAGAAAAACCTTTGGTTTGCAGCAGAAAATAATATATTAGAAAGCTTTGACAAGCTCAGAGTCACGGCTAATCTTGCTTCTCTGCCTTCAGAACAAAAGTGGGAATGTATCATGTTCAAAAATGTAATGGAACAGTTTAAGAATGAAATACTTAGATTTACAGTCTGCAACATGTGTTTCTTTGAAAGGTGACTATTTCTGTCGCAAGCATTTAGAGGGGCGTCACCGTGTTTACCTTGACGCAAGTTTGCAGGTGCTGTCTAGGAAGGCCTCTCTTGTGAATGCCGCCCAAAAGGGACTCATAGTTCAGCACTTGAAGAATATTCTGGTAAAGGGTTTTTGTATATACATGGGTTGTCAAGTTGTTCTGAGGATGCCACTTTGTTTCAGCCCGGAACACTGGTCTATGGCGTACTGAGGGCATTTGTGAGGCACGGAATGCTGCTCAATCTTCCTGCCGGAATCAGAGGATTCGTTCCTCTCAAGGTGAGGTTATTGAAGAGTGCTCAAATGACCGCTGTCTTGAGTGGGTACTTAGGATCGCCTCCAACGTTTGTAGGAGTTTGTCGAGGAATAGTGGCGACCCACCGAAACGCCAAAATCGAGATACTGATACGAAACATGCACTTATTGACATGATGCCAAGCTGACATGGAGAAAATAACTGAGATTCCTTGTCGGCCGAGCATCTTCATTCCTGTTTTGCATTCTCTAGACTTTACTGATCGGACACTTTCTTGTTTTTCATTACTTTGTGAAAAAAGAATATTTGACATCGGTTACCACTGGGACGTACCCAGCCTCTTCATTTCTGTTGAATGAAGTTATGTTTACTAGGGTCCTTTGTTTTCGGGTTGTATATTTTCCAAAAATCGGAGGGTCAAATTGGGCCGAAATAAAGGTAATAGCGCAAGCTAGCCGATGAACGATCATACTTACAAAACCCCCGAGACAAGGGAAAAAAAAAAAAACAATAATAAAATGAAGGGACAACATTTGAGACGTTGCTGCATTGTCCCTTTTTCAAAGTCATTAAAATACAGAAAGGAGCAACAGTCTGAGCATTCTTGTAAATCCTAGATCCTTTCAGTCTTTAGATGTATCTGTCAACTGGGAGGGTGTTCTCTATGTGCAATGCACAATGACGTTGGCGGCATTTGCTAGACTGGTGTAGCATGCAATGGCATTGTGCCAGTATATATGGTTTTTTGGTACTCGTGTTCTGTGGGCTCGCTTTCAGCAGGTGCTGTTCAGACTGATTCCGAAGCGAAGGTGTGTCGGCGGACACGCAACCTAAGGCTGGTTCACACGCTGGCAACCCCGCTTGCGACCGGTTAAAACTTCTTGCGATCTCTTACGACTAGCAGACACGCTGGTGCCATCTACCGGGTAGCCTTGCAACACCTGCATTTTAGGTATACCATAAAATACCGCAGAAGCGCCCACTTCATTCGAACGCCCACTATTAACACTTCCCAAAGTTGGGAATTCTGCAAATTATGTGTGAAGCACCTGATTTGACCGGACAAGCGCCCATGTCGAGATTAATCCAGTTTTCAGTGAAAGTGGGGTGGGTGCTCCCACGGTATTTTACGGTACTGCTATTTTTTTCCACGCATTGCTCTTTCTTTTTTTGGTTCGAAAAACTTTCGACAGTGATATAGACTACCATTTCTCTTAGTGCATATGTCTGATCTCGTAAAGTGTGCACAACCTTGGCTCTAGTGAAATGCAGTTCCAGGACCACTTCATAAATGGCGCCAGCGCCTGTTCTCTAATTGCGAGAGATCGGGAGAACTTGGTTGGAAGTGGACGCGAGTGTGTGAGCGAGCCTTTAGAAGAGATTTGATATCCTCAAACAACTGACTGAGCAGACACTCCTGAAACGGATGCGGAATCACACCCACTTCTTTATCTTTGGCAGAGAAACATTTTCTAGGAAGGCAGGTTCTAGGGGGAACTCGGGTGTAATTTGATTTTACTAAAACTTGTTCACGGTGCAAGTATCGATCGGGAAGAATCGGGTTCTACCCTAAAACAAAGGCCCATTATACTGATTTCTCTTATCTTCTTTTTTTTTTTATGACAAAATGGTTATTTGTTAAGACGATAGGTGTAGCGGAGCTTGCTTATATATGGCATAAATTTGGCAAAAGCCTACTTTCTCTCCATTGCAGTTGTGTCATATGCTGTATGCATTTAAAGGGGGGGGGGGGGGGGGTTCAACGGTTTCTGGACGTCGGTAAAATTTTTGTAGAATTCACCCTCTGGCATTTTTGAAGTAAAGAACAGAAAACCGATTTCGCCTGTGCTGTCCCAGTTGTTCCGTAAAAAAAAGATAAATATTGGCATTCCTGGCACCCCTCAACTCACTCCCAGTCTTGAGGATCACACCTGGTCCCCCTCCTAGTGACTTTATTCGGGGTGCCGTGTAGGTTCCCGTGTGCTTTCTCGGAGGAAGCTTCCTCTCCCTCTCTCTGCGTACATTAGCAGGCGCTATGCTGCAGCTTAGAGCCGAGTGAGGTCACAAAAGCTTATCGCCGTGGTTCCTTCGGCTGCCACTCGCGGCTGCAAGTGGGGAGAAAGCTCGACTAATGCTTTGTGATTATGCAGCGAAATCGCAACATTTTTGAATGAAGGAGATGTTCTCTGTATCCTCCGAGACACGATAAACAACGCAAAAATGACAAGATACAAATTCTTTTAATCTTAAAATCGTTACACCGCCCTCTTTAATGGGGAACACTACTCAGAAACGTCAACTTCTGTACCACTTGTCTGATTTCTATCAAATTTGCAGTGGAAGTTTATAGTAGTGGCAAGACCATTCCTGCCAAATTTTATTGTCCTATGTCAATTCTGAAACTTGTTACAAATGATACAATATGGAAGTCAGTGTGTTTGCTTAGGAAAAGTATTGTTTTAAAATAAAATAAAAATATCTGATATTTATGTGTAGTATAGTTATAGGAATACCTATAGCACATACCCAGATGGTTTTTTTGCTATATTGCATTGTTTTTCTTAAGTATAACTCGATAAGAAGATTACAATTTTTTTTTTCATGTCTGCACCCTTTTTACAAATGTAGTTTTCTTTAGCATAAAAGAATGTAAAGTAGAAAAACTAACCAGCCAGGCATGTTCCTTGCAAAATTTTATCCCACAAAAACCACCTAAGAATAATTCTCTATTGTGTAACAGGAAAACGGTAGTCTTCCTAAAGTGAAATTTATGCCAAAACGTGGAACAGGGAAAACTGCATTCAGAGTACTCCAACCCCTACCTTTTCTTTAGCATCGGTGGACCGAAAATAATTTAGAAAAAACTAACTATGCAGTGTAAACTAATGAAACGTTCTGGGAATACTATCTAGATGTTGGTAGATGTAAATATAATATTTTTTCGAGATCAGCTTTTTTTGCAGAAATCTTAAGGGGGGACACTACCCAGAAAAAAACAATTTCTGTAAAAGTGGCTCAAGCATTCACTTTCTTGGGTAGTGTCCCTCCTGAAAGAAACGCTGCTCCGTTCCGAGAATTTCCGGATGATGAGCGATTTCACATTAACAAGTACTAATGAAAGGTACTACGTCGTTTGCTTCGCGAACAATGGGTTATATTTTGTGAAATCTTACTTTGAACATGAGCAGAAACCGAAACTTTGGCTCTCTCGGGCAACATTGACCTCGGGCCGTCAAAAAACATGACTACCACGTGGTACGAGTGGTCACGTGATCCCCTACACGACGACGGGCAGGATCGGGGCAGACCACCACTGGGGCGGGTGTGTGCAAGGCGTAAGTGTCGTCTGCATTGCAGTCTTCACCACATTTCGATGTCTAGGACATTCGACAACGTCTGCAACTGCAGCACACGTAGTGTGAATGAAACTCAGACAGTAATCACAGCCAGCGAGACGACAACGGCGATTTGGATGGTTAGGACGCAGAAGACAGTGGGACAGCTGAACGGCCCCCTAGGCTGAAAAGCGTGCTGTGCAGGCACGTTATGCCAATCACGTGGACACCAATGCCGATAAGATATGCTGCCGACGTCACGTGTTACGCTTGTCCCCAGAAGTAAAAACAAACAAAAAGTAGCAATGTTGATGGCGTTTAACACAATGTTGGCTATGCCAGCACCATAGCCTTGACTGCGCTGTTGACTTCACCTCAATTCGCCCGCTAGATTCAGCCGATTTCGGCAACTTGGCGCTTTCCGAAGTTTGCCGAACCGTTTAAGAAATGTCTAGACAGAACTAGATTGTAATATTTCACCGGTGGTCTTTCTAGGTGGTACCGAAGGGGACTGCATTGTTTTTCCAAAAACAAAAATGAAGCGGAGTTAGCATAAGAATCGAAAGAGTGTACGCAGACATGCACCTGTCGGCACGTTTGCCTGCATGCAGTCGTACTCTGTGATGACACTAATTGTTGCCTGTGCAGAATGTGGCCGACGAGTTTCTGCGGGAGCCATCCATGTCGGGCTTCGTGGTGGGTCAGTGCCTCAGTGCCAGGGTCACCGAAGTGATTGCCAAAAAGAACCAGTTGCGCCTCAGCACCAGCCTAAAGACCTGCGCCACGAGCCTCGACAATCATGCAATGGTGCTGCTCTCTGCCCGACTCGGTGACGATCGCCTCCTCGCCAGCCTAGACAGTTGAGTTTGTGTTTGAACTTGGAACGGGCTTCTCAAGAGAACTCACACTTTCGGGTCACCTCCAAGAATCGGCGACAGGATGTAACGAGTCGTATTAGAGTGTTTCGTAAATATTGTTTGACCGTGCGACAGGGGCAAGTGTGGATCAAACAGTGGTCCTTACTGGTATATATTCCTGCAGGGGTGGTAACACTCATATCGACAGCTACCTAAAGCCGCTTTATACGGAGAAGTAACGGCATCCTCTGAAGAACGCCGTCTGCTATCTTGGAGTTATCCAGGTGGCACTGTTGTTGGCGCGCGACTGCGAAAGAGCAAAAAATTAAAGCTAAAAAGTACTGTAAAACCCTTAATGTTCGCGAGCCCTCAATTTTCGCGAATTTCACGAAAGTTAAGGGCGCACAAAAATTTCGGTCCTTAAGGTTTTCAATGCAGGCGTCTGGAATTCGTGAAATTTCGTGGTCGCGATTATGTCGTCTGTGAGCGATTCGAGAAAAATAGGGGCCGCGAAAATAATGGGTTTTACAGTATGTGTGCCAGAGGGGGAGGAAGAAGACCTTTCTTACTCAGGGGCCTTACAGCTACCTTTTGGTGGCTTATTTTCCATGCATGCCGAACTCACGGGTGAAAGTGTTAACTTTTATTTCAGCCACCTGTTCCTTCGTTCTGATCCTGTGTATTTCGAAAAAGCATTGTAACATTACTGCATTTCTTATCCAGAGGGCGGGTCAAGTCAACCTCGAACATTCAGTCTGACCGAGGTGGTTGTGAAACGTGTGGACGCTGAGGCAGACTCTGTCTACTGTGAGACGGTGAACGGGGGCTTTCTTGCCGTGGCTGCCAAGGGCTGCCTGAAAGGTACCATGGTTTTGCGTATGGAGCAATCGTTGCCAGAGATTCACAGAGTTGGGTTCTGTTTTGCCAGGTTCCAAGCTGACACCTGGAAATGTCTTAGAAGCTATTGTTCTTCACTGCCGGCCAGGGGGACCTAAAGTAGCAAAGGTCTGCCTTGACCCCAGCGCCGTTAGAGCCTTCAAGACAGCCAAGCAGAAACAGGTGGGTTATTTAAATATGAGATTCAGTGTAAATTTAGACACGACCAGAGTGTCAAACAGAAATTGTTATCAATTCGGGTTTGGGTTCACGGCTTTCGGTTTAATTCTGGTTCAGCTTTGGGGAGCCAAAATAATGGTTCAAAGCGGTTCGAACCCCCAAGTTTTTTATATATTTTCTGCATTGTTTTGGTTATAGGCACTATTTCCGCCGTTAAACGACTAACCATACTGTATAGTTTTTTTTATCGTTCATACAATCCATTTTCATTTTTAAGTACCAAAAATAAGAAATTGCATTATTTAATTTCGATTAAACACTCTAAGAAAATCTAGATTAACGTACAGGACGTGGCATTTATATGACTCAATATCCCTTTGTTTACCTCAATCACACACACCTGGCCTGAATCAAAAGGTTGTCACGAAGTGTGATAGGTCACATAAAATACCCTTGATTGGTACAACTTTGTGTCGCAGTATTAAAAGTTAAATCGTGGTTGTGCTCTTTAACTCGGGAATTAATTACGGTGCATAAAATCATGGAATGGCCACCTTGTCACCATATACTTTATTGTGAAATCTAGTTTACGAAATGCATTTCACGATAATATATGATGACGATGCAACTGAGCTAAAAGCAATCATATTTTCAAAATATTGCAGAAGTTTTAGGACAAGCCCCCCCCCAAGTCTATCTTTTATTGAAACACTGAGCGGCAATTACAACGCTTGTTTTCTAATGCAACATTGTTTACACTCAGCACCGTGATGCAGGCGAAGGATCACGCAGAAAGGACTGATCAAACTTGTTCACTTTAATATACACTCACCTTCATACTCAGATTGACTCTGGCCTAAAATAGCGCGCTCCCAAGTTAACATTTTATTATACGGGATAAACTGGCATAGCCTGACTGTTGAGGTTGGTTTATGACAAGATGCCGGTTAATTCAATTTGCAAATAAGCATCACCTTTACTAATTGATCTGTTTTTGTAAAAGAACAAAGCAGTATTTTATACTTAGGATTCTGTGTTTTCAGAGTTCATTTTTCATCAAATTTGGAGGGTGTTTTTTGGAGTTTATAGGAGTTTATTTTTGTTTGCTTCCAAAATCTCCTAAATTCTGAGCTTAATTTTGCACCGTTTCCTATGAAAAAATAAGTAAATAATATCTGGCTGTAAACGTATGCTAGGTAAAGAAAAATAAAGCGAGTTTGTATCAATTAATATTTCTTTAGCTGGCTTTCGTGCTGGTGCCATTGCCATTACTAATTTGTCCCCCGCAAAAGTTGCACACACGTGTGGCTTCGATAAACGTCGATACCTTAAAAATAAACTCCTGTAGGTAGTCTCTTGGAAGCACTTTCATCTCATCCTATTCTCTGCTACCCCGCAGCCACGCGAGGTGGACTGGTAAAGGTTGTAATAAGGAAGTTTCAAGTGCCCCCCTTCCCAATTTTATGCAATCTCTATGTTCCATAGCTTTCAGTGTTACAAAAACACAATGACAATGGCACCAACACCAAATCCAGCTGAAGAAATATTAATCGATATCAGCGCATTTTATTTTTCTTTATCTAGCACACTTTTACACCCGGATATTATTTATTTATTATTCATAGGAAGCACTGCGAAATTAAGCTCTGAATTTCGAAGATTTTGGATCGAAACAAAAATAAACTCATATAAACTCCAAATTTTCCTTCCTCTTAAAACACAAATAGTATGGCCCAAACTGGAAAGCAATACGAGGCTTTTGTTGTGACCCGAAAGTACAGTAACATGTCGTCCTGAACCTTGACGAGATAAGCGGTAAGACCCTTTTTGTCAATGATCCGAGAATTGAAAGATAACTGTGGTGGCATTTTCCAGGGACCATTGACCCCGTGCACTGATGAAACTTGATTGTAAAATATTGTCTTTATTTAGTTTTCTTTTCCTTTTTTTTGGGGGGGGGGGGGGGGGGGAGCATTGGTACATAAAAAATTCGGAGCTTATCGGATCAATCCGAATCGACCAAAATTTTACCGGTGGGTGTTTTCCAGAGTTTTTCGGATTTATCCGAAAACATGGAACTTTATTTATACTCTACTCAGCATAGCAGCTACTTCTACTTCGTTTTACGACAACTTGGCGAACTGTGGGGGCTGCAGCCCCACAGTTCGACCCAATAAGGGCGTCGGAGCAAGGCACGTGATGGCACTCCATGCTCGAGGCCACAGAAGCCTCGTTACCGCCATAGAAACAGCGCCGTCCGCGACAAAAAAGTAGTTCTAGGCTTCTTTTTCTTTTAACGGCAATTGAACTCGCATGGTTGCATCTCTATTGACACTACGCTGTACGATATGGAAGAAAGACAAAGACATGTGATTTCTCAATGATACTTAATTCGGATCAACCATTTTCCGAGTACAACATGGCTTTTGAATGATGTTTAAACGATTGCAGCCCTGTAATCAGCCGCTTCCGCTCAAAACATCGCACCTGCCACAGATTCACGGATAAATTGAGCGGATGGTTGTCTCGTGAACATTTCCCGACGAGCTCGCTACTCTAGTGGACGTCAATGTTGCATGGCGGACATTCATCCAAAGTTGGTTGGTTTTGCAGCAGACGACTCTTGGCTAGCAGACGACAGCCGGTTCTTCCGGGCCTCGCATTCGGCGCAGTGACACAAACGGTCCCATGACATGTTGTCATGTGCCTCACTCCAGCGCTCTTATTAGGTCGCGGGAGCCGCAGCCTCCACAGTTCGCTAAGTGCCAAGTTATCGTCAAACGGCGTTTAATATGTCACTTTCTGACGGTCTGCGAGCATAATCGTCATAGTTCCGCCATGCGCCCCCGTGTGCTTTTTGTCCAGTCCACCGACACAAAATTGCTTCATCACATACAGGATTCAATAACACATTTCTATTTGTTTGAGGAGTTATATACAGAAACACAGTTACTTAATTAAATCAGCTTCAAAATCAGAAGTTCGTGTGAGGTTCTCCCAAATCACTTATACACATCTATCAAGGATAAAATGACAGAAAAGATTTGCAGAGCATATTTCAGATAATTTTGGGGTGCATTTACTTATGAGATATATATTTAAAGTGATTGGTCCTTTATTTATGTTTTCAGTAATGAAGTATATTTTTATTATAATCAATAAATTTTACTTTAATAAATAACTGCTTGAAACCGACACGGGAGGACGTTACTCAAAAATATGCCAGCTGTTAAGCTCATTTGCAGAAACATGCCTTTTTGTTCTTTGTTTGGCAGTGTGAAACACTGTGTTGTGGGGTATGCCAAAAAGGGGCATTGTGCTCACATGATAGATCTGAACGCAAATACACAAAATGTGCAGAAAGAGAAAGTTAATAAATTGTAGTTTTCAAAAGAATCCGATACATGATGCATTACTGCAAAAAGAAATAAATAGCAGGGGTGGAACGGCTGCGCCATTTTGCACCAGACGCATTTGTCTGCGCCATCCTGCGCCATTTTGCGGAAACTGCGCCACAGCCAATACCTCGCAACATTGTGCTCCAAATCGCACAACGTGCGCCAAAAAAATTATATTTTGTCTTTGTTTCGGTTCTTATCGACTCGATTGGCAACAATGAGTGCATTTAGCGTGGTCGGCCTTGCAATTTTTTGTTCTGTTTATTTTCCCTGTGTATCCCGAGTCGGAAGCGTACGAAAAAACTCGGGGGTCGGATTCCATGCGCTACGGACCTGCGACTGGATTCTTATTCTTCAACCATAAGCGGTTAAGGGGGGACATGGGCCTGAGTTTCAAAATTTTTTGAAAAAAGTCATTTTTCAATTTTGAGGCTTTCGGTTTTAGAAACTAATTATACACCCTTACACTAAATTTCATAACCATGCGCCAAATAGTTACGTTGATATAAAATATTTTCGACACAATGTGAGGCAGTAACAAAGTAAAGGAGTTCATTGTTTGAATGCATTTTTCTCAGTTCCACTTTTTGCTGCAAATGTCATACGAAGGAATCTTTTGTTCTAAGGTGAAATTATTCTGATACCACAGTCAAGATGTTTCAGAACTGAAATTTACTGGGGAATCGGGCTATCTAGCTTATTTTGTTTTACATTAAAGACCTCATTGAGAAAAAACTATGTTCTCAAAAATTGACATAGGACAGATATGCATCTCATATTTTGAGGTAATCACTCTTCCTGAAATATTTCCATTTTAGTTATAAAAACTAGATAGCCCGAAGTCCCACAAACTAGATAGCCCGAAGTCCCACATCCCCCACCTTATACTCAGGCAGTTAAAATGGTGCTTAATAGCTTCATTTGCATATCATAGATTTCTTAATGAAGAGTGACACATCTTCTTATGCAGGTATGTAAAGTTGTCCTAGAGAGCTGAAAGCTTGCACAGTACACCTACATCTGAAGTTAAATCTCCCCTGCAAATTTCATTCCGATCACTTGAGTAGTTCAGAAGTTCAACCTCTAGCCAGTGCGCCCCCCTTAAGCAAATCGGCCGAGGTGAGGTCGAATCGTTAAGCGTCAGATTGCCTGAAGCTCTGCGGCCTGACATCCGGACGTCAGCCAGTTGAAAACAAATAAGCTAAATATTCCTTTTAGCACTTCATCGTTAGAAGTCGGAACTGCATTCCTGCAAGATAAATCGTGATTTGATTGAACTGAAACGCGGTCCGATCCGAAACCTTGCCGGCCAGCAGCTTTCACGCGAGTGGTAGATCTACTCGGCATACTTTAACCTTGCCTCGGCTCATCGTTTAGAATAAGATAAGTTTGTTAATCGTAGTCTGCTGCTTCGATATTGAGTTGTAGAATGGGATAAACTCAAAATTTGTAGCCCTGTTCCTCTGCGCAACTGCACGTCCGTTGCTTACGCATGTCACGTGGTTCGCGCATATAACTCCGATGTGGAGCACGTGTGGGTTGTGCTATAAGCAGTGCTGGTTTGCATTTTGAGCAGCTGAAAGCCACTGAGAAAATATTGAATGA